AAACATTTCGATCATGGATTACAAAACATTACGATCATGGATTACATAAAATTCTATCATGGGTTACAAAAATAAAAAATAAAAAATAAAATTCGATCATAGATTACAAGAAAAAAAAACAAACATTTCGATCATGGATTACAAAAAATTCGATCATGGATTACAAAAAATTCTATTATGGGCTACAAAAAAAAAAATTAAATAAAAAAAAAAAAAAATTGTTCTTCACAGAGTCGTTTTACATAAGCGATTTTAACTCAAAAATTCACCTCTAAGTGAATAAATTACATCCAATTGAGTATATTTTCTGATAAACAACAATATAAGGAATCAAAAACCTAAATTTTTAACAGATTATTTCTAATATATCATGAAAACAAAATCAAAAGGTAGAAAAAAAAAAAAAAACAGCGGAATTTGGTTCCGCAAACATCTCACTGTTCATATCAAATTTCTTGCTGTAATTGACTAGATTACGTAAAATTGAAAATTTTAAATCATACTAGACACAATAAAGATTAAAAACCCTAATTATTGAACTCATTTTGTTCAAAATATGCCGTGAAATAAATCAAATGGCGGAAAAAAAAAAAAACCCAAAGTTCTTACATGTTTTTGTGAACCGAAGCTTTCAATCTCCAAAAAACTCTGTTTTTCTCAACGATTATCACAAATTAATAACAAAAGGTTTTGATTCACAGCTTTAAGATCAAAATGCCTACAAATTTTGAAAGATTCATGCCCTATTTGGCATGAAATTTCAGAAAAGGCGGAAACCCTAAACCCTGAAATTTTCGTGATCCAAAAACAACCAATTTTTCCACCATTTAATTCTTGAAAAAGCTAAATAAAGCTGTTTAAAGCCTGCAACTCAGATCACATGCCAAAAAAACAAAAAAAATGATAAAAAAATGACAAATTTGAAAGAATCCGTAAAGAACACTGTGCAACCCGTATTCTTCACGGACTCGCCGATTCCGCACAGTGAATCGGCGAGTCACTGTGCAAAATCGTCCGGTTCTCTCTAGAACCGGACGATTCCCGATTTTTGAAACGATCCGATCCATTTTCGTGAAATCCAAGTCGAACCGAGCGAGTCCGGTTCGACTCGACGATTTTTTAAACGCTGCTTTATTCAATTGATCTCATTCTTCTCAACATCTTTATTCAATTTATATCCCTCTTTGTCTTGTGACTCATCTCAACATGATCTCAACTATACTTATCCTATGAGCACCCCGGCAAAGTACAATGCTTACCTATGCGGGTTTTATTCTGTAATGATTTGGAAAGGGTTTTAAATCAGTACTGTGCTCTGCATCATTAAACCCGTTTCAGTGTTTCTTAAAGGCTTCTCTATGATCGTTGTTGAGCGTGTATCAGGAGCGTTGTACAAGAGACGGTTCGCCCATGATCCACACACCTTTATATACCAAAATTCAGAAGTTCAATCTTTGAAATTGCTCATAGATAAAGAGTCTACGGCGACCCAAGCTCCATAAATTACCAGTACAGTAAAAATAGGGATCGTATAATTTACTTCTGATATAGAAAAGCCACAATTACTTACAACCGATGTGATGTGAAATCGAATATGGAGACGACGTATAAAGCACAGCACAAAAGGTTGAATCAGATATGAAGGGTGCCAAAAACATTAAAAAGAAAACATATTTTGAAGTTGCAATTTATTTTTTGTTTTATATTTATAATCAGGTCGACTTAAATAATGAATTCCTAAAAGTTTATATAAAATCCAGCGGTCCGAACGCATAATCTTCTCTCTGGGAAACCGAAGAGAAATTGTTTTTATGATGAGGAAGCACGCTGTTGTTTATGGATATGTACATTTTACAAGCAGCAGCACAGCACAGCACAGCACACTTAATATACAGTGAGGCAGCTCAGTCCCTGCTCTTCGCTTTCACACCAATGCAACCCTCTACGAATCTCTTCAACCCACGCTTTGGAGGCCTCCTTCCTCTTCCTCTCTCTTCTTCCTTTTCCTTCCTTTCATCTTCTATCCATTTCTCCAACTGCAAACCCAGCTTTTGGAAAACCATTCACACTCGTTAGTTCTCTTCCTAACTCTTAACAGATATAAACATAAAAAGCCAAACAGGGCTTGCGTTTTCGGCTCATCCAGAAAAAATAAATAAATAACCTGGAGCACCCTGCCCTCGACGAGGACGAGGCGATCGACTAGCGTGCCTTTCACCTGTGTCTCGACCGAGACGGTGTCGAGGGGCCGGCATCGCTTCTCTAGAATTGGAGGAGATGATCCCACCGATGTCGAATGCCCATTGCTGGTGGTGCCGCTACGGGAAGTTGAGACGCAAGAGCTTTTCCCCGATTCGCTCCCCTTCAATTCTTCTAAATAGCTTATCTTCACCAACAAAACATGGAAAATCGGAAAGAAAAATCAACAGTTGCTGGTTACATGCAATTAGAGCAATCAACTTAAAGATTACAAGCTTAAATACTCGAGAGAGAGTAATGGGTGTATTGTTAAACTCAGAGTGTCATCAACACAAACCAAAACCAGTAAAAGGCCTGATCCAAAATATTTTGATTATTTGATTTGAAAGGGATTATATATGATTCATCTTTATTACAAACAGGCCGTCAGATGGCTTTAAGTAGGTTAGGAAGTTCAAGGAAGTTTTCTTTTTTAACTTTCCAGTCGAGTCTATTCTCGATTTGGAATTTGCACCTCTTTCTATCAAAAATAATATTCCTACTGACCAAATAGTGCTTTTCAAATTTAAATAAAAAATATAAAATAATATTTTTTAAAAAAATATAGAGACCATATACTTTTTGATACAAGGTTACCATCATAATTGATGGTTATATTTGAAATTGGGTGATTGAGGATATGTCATGATTTAGGCACATAGTTCAAAACAAAATTTCTTATGTTGTAAAACACTTTTATCTATTAGATTTTAGATCCAATCGCTAAAAATAATTGTAAACCCATGTACAAAAAAAATTCTCAGAACCCTAATTTAAAACTAGGAGAAACAGTACAAAACAATAACCAAATGTTATTAGGCTACTCTAATAGTTTAAAAGAACTTTAACTCGTGGGCTAGAAGCACTCGAACAATATTTTTATTGATTACTTGTTTTTTTTTTTTAATAAAAACAAACTACTGATTTCTTCTATTGTTAAAAAAAAAAAACAAATATCAACCACCAATCGGCAGACCAAACTAATTCGCCTAGCTAGGCCGACCATGATAACTATGGCTACACCATATAATGTTCTAGCGCTATAATAGTATAGAATATAAAAGGTCAAAGCCCAAAAGGACGAATTATATATATGGGTGCGGTTTGTATGGAGCCGATGTTCTAAACAATCGAAGTAAAACACACCCATGAATAGAATACTGAAAATCTTTGTTATACCATAAAATGTATTTTAATTTTTTTAACTATAAAATTTAAAACTTCAAAAATAATATAGATGGAATATATTTATAAAAACTTGAAAATTAACGGTCCAAAACTGCATTATTTCTAAAACTTAAAATCCATTTTTTTATCATGACCATACATCATGAGATCAAGATGATATTGAAGAATCAAAACAAGCCCTTGTGATGAAATTTTCGAGATTCAACTAAATTTGTTTGTTTAGAGCCTCACACTTATATAAATTTTTATTCATTATGTAATAAGATGGAGAAATATGACAGCATAGAATATGAAAAATCAAGAGCAATTCATATATATAGTAAGATAACACTGAAAGACAAAGAGAGAGGAAGGAGGGATGGTTACCAAAATATCAAGACGATCAAGTCTAGAGACAAGTGATTCTTTAGTTGCCTCCATACCTCACACTCGCTTCACTTTTCAAATTCTCTCTCTCTCTCTCTCTATATATATACATTCGGTAAGGCCGCAATATATGTTAGGAGAGGGAAGGAGCGACACGTTTCATGCGTGTAATCCTCCTTGGCTCCGACACATGTTAATATTGAGAAACGTGTCAATTGCTACAGAGTGACGAAGGCTTCCACGTCATCAGGTGTTGCGACATGGCAACATTTAGATACCGTTGCTCCCCCTCCTCTCATTAATTTATTTATGCGATGGATTTAGATTGTCAATATATTCGAAAATGTGTTTTGACAACATCAATATCATTTTTCTGGTGGAATTAGGCAATTGGGGCGTGCTAATGATGCTAGGTTTCTAAGTTATCATGCTCGCCTTATACATCCTATTTCTCTAATACTTTTTGTGTTACATTGTTTTGTATTTAACTCTAGTCAAGTAGCCAGATCAGAATGCTTTATTTCTCTCTTTTCTGTTATGTATTTTTGTTAGGTGGCAACATTCTCTCTATACTTGCCCTCTTTTGGGCTCCCTGTCTGTCTGACCTGGTAATTGGTCACCCCATGCCGATTTTGTGAATATATAGGAAATTACTTAGGTCTAAAAGAGAACCGGCGATTTACTACAGTAAAAATATCATTTTGCTACGGTAGAAACACTTATTCATCGATTCAGACCGGTTTTTGGCTGGTTCACTGTTTTTTCGTCAGTTCACTATTAGTAAAACAACAATCCGGACTGCCCATTCACCAGTCTAGACCGGTTTTATCGATGCCCAATCCTAACCATTGATCTGCTTTTTAAATCATTGATAAAATCCATGATAGGAATATATATTGCACCCATGGCAATACCGGACCTACATCTCCTAGTAAAATTTAAGAGTGCTGCTTATTTATAGAATATAAGATGGACACCTTATACAAACCCCATCTTATTTATAATCCTTATGTTGAGAGCATCTATGGAATCTGTTTATACTTTTCACATAGCACAAGAGAATATACCTTCAACAATAAAATTTAAATAGTAAAAAATCAGACTGTTAAAACAAGTTAATAGAGCATAAGAGAATATCCCTTCAAATTATAAATTTCAAATAAGGATGCAGTTCCTATAAGGCCTAGGCTCTAAAAAACAAAGGAAGGCCTCACTTCGAATCCTCCCTCGGAGAGCACTTTGGGTTTCGGAAATATCCATGGTGGCTCTAAAATCAATTTTCGATGCTAACAATGAAATGAAATTTGAAGCTAAAAAAAATTACAGATCTTACAAACTTTAGAATAGTTATTTTTAGGGCAAAATGGATGGTCGAGATAATGTGTTACAATATACACTCTTTTTTTTTTTAGCATGAAATCCTAATTTTTGTTTACAACTATGATGGTCAAGGCCAAGATGATGGACTAAAAGTTTCCCGACACCATAACTGACTATTTTCAATAAATTTTGATGTGAGGCTTTACTTGTTTTGATAGGGTTGCAAGCCTTTCAAAATATTTTCCTTTCAATAATAAAAAATCACACATGGTAAAACTGGTTAGCTCAGGATCCACGGCTAGTTGGTCATAATCTTACGAGACCTTGTATACCATGCTCCCTCGGGAGCAAAATATATATTTATTCCCTCATGTAAAACACTTATTTGGCCAATTTTTGGTGTTTTTTCATTGAAATCTCAAGACTTAACTAAATTAAGAAAACGAAAATTAGTTTTTTGAGCCTGTGAACATTTGAATCATTCCCTCCAAACATCGAATGTTCACTACAATCTTCGGATGCTTTTTTTGAGGCGCATAAAGAGTGAAAGTTTTTTTTTTTTTCCCTTTGAGTTGGTTGTTGGGTTAAGACACGACATCTCTAAAATTTGGAATCTAAAAGACATTAGTGTAACTTTTGCCTCATAGAATAAATAGATAGTATGCTCCATTGGGAGTAGGAAATCTTTTGAACTGAAATTTTATCAAATCACTACTTTTCTTTTTTTCAGAAAAGGTTTTTGGAAAAAGTTTATATAAGGGTGAGCCCTCAAACAATCCAAGGTGCACCTCAAATATTCGAAGGGATTGTCTTGATACCCAAAAATCCTCAAATCAATCATCTTGACCTTTAAGATGTATGGACACGAGAAAACTAGATTTCAAGTCCAGAAAATAGTGCATCTAACATTGCGTTTTTTTTTTTTGTTTGTGGGTGAATTTTTGAGTGTTTAGAGATAGGACGTTGTTAACATTGTTGGGTTTATGTGGCCATTAAAAGCTTTATGACAGCTTGTATAAAAAATAAAAGTAAAACCCTAAAAATTTCCATTAAAAAAGGGGCCGGAAAATGGACATTCCTTGGCATGTGACTTTGAATGAGGATGAGTTGCATGTTGGATTTCTTCCTAAATATTCATTACTCTTTAACCCTTTTATTACATGTCCATTTTTTTTTGTTAGGAAAGAACAGTTTAGTTTGTTCCTCAAAATTCAAAGAAATGAAAAAAGAATATCGGACTAGGGCCGAGTAACATTCAAAGAAATGAAAAAAGAATATCGGACAGTACTCGGCTTGAGTCGTCCAATAGAATACTGATTAAAGAGTTAATTTTGGACACTTCAAGGAGAATTGAAGTAATAAAGGATTTTAGGGGATATTTATAGGGTGTGTGGTTTCTATAAGGTTGGCACTCTAAACAATCCAATTAAAGCGCACCTCCAAATCTTATCATAAGATGTAATTTTGGTGTACAAAGTTTTTAAGATCATTTTTTTAAAAAAAATTATCTCTAATTATAAAATTTTAAACTCCAAAAAAAGTCAAAATCAAGTAGATCTATAAACGTATGAAAATCTTGAAAATGGGCGGTCTAGATAATGTGTTGCAAGATGCACTATTTTTGGGAATCAAAATTTTTATTTTTTTCATATTCATACATCTTTATTTTTATATTCTTACAACCATCCGATGTGAAATCTGATAGCTTGAGAGTGTCACAATTCGAAAATATTTCTTTTAAAGTTTGAGCATGGTCAATGAAATAAATGCAACCATTTCATTTCACAGCTAATGACCGAGATTTATTGTGACCACCTTGTACTAAAGATAAAGTTTCATTGTATATACTTCTTTTTAAAAAAATTTGTATGGTTGTTTTTATAAATATTTTGAACCAAGTGGGGTAATGCTCGAGGAATCAATGTTTCTAAAATATTTGGGCCCAATGTATTTTCAAAGGAAAGAGTTTTAGACATGTGAGATAGTTGGGACATGCCTCTCACTCTATGAGAGCCCTACAACGGTAACCGGATATTTGACAACACTACTCCTAATTGTTATTTCCTTTCTATAGTATTTTTCTCTCCAGATTTGCCTTCGATTTGCTTTTACAGCAAGTCCCTCTTATTAGCATATGTATATCTATAATTTCTATCTTGATATACATCATTATGAATACATATTGAGATAAGCATATATATGGGTATATATCTCTTAGGTGTCTCTTGATTATGATTTGATTAGTTAGTAGTTAACCATAATCGTTGGTATTATCTTTAATGATTAAATGCCGTATATTTATACGGGTCTTATATATTCTTGATCAATCAATAATGATCAATCAATAAGTATTCTGAAATGATCTTCCATGGGGGCTTAAAACCCAAATATATAGAAATACTGTTAGAAGTTTCTAACACGGTATCAAAGCAAGATTCTCTGCGATCTTCTTTGGGTCTTCTGCGATCTTCTTTGGGCTTTGTATTTCTTTGTTTTCTTCTTCTATAAGATGCCTAGTTTCTCTCTCTAGAAAGGATCTCTTTGAGCCTTCTGTGATCTTCTTTGGGCCTTGTATTTCTTTGTTTTCTTCTATAAAACACCTAGTTTCTCTCTCTACAAAGGATCTCGAGAAGTTGGGTCTCTTTTTTTTTATTATTTCTTCGACAGCTACACCTTTTTCTTCATATCAAACTCTGCCCCTGGAAAAAACAATATCAAGATACTTCGTGCCACTTGAGCCTTTCTATCATCCTTTTGGGCTTGGCAAGCCATTCAATAGCACGCACCTAATTTTTTGCGAGCAAATCTCCATCAATTATTTTTTGCAAGCAAATCTCCATGCAGTTCAAAACTATTTGTGTGTTTCTCAACAAAAGCTTTCTATTGACAATCTCCATCAATAAACTGTTGTACCAGTTTGTGTGCATCTTCGTCAAAGCAGCTGCGTGAATTCTTAGGTGGCTGCAGAGGCGTTTGCTGCTCTCAGTCATCATCCACCTCTAAAAATGACCGATCTGCACTGGCCTCTAAAAACAACCGATCTGCACTCTCTACCAAGTCCTTCGACTCTCTGCCGAGTTATTCTTCGACTCTCAGCCAAATCCTTCAAGACTCTATGCAAAGCAGCCTTTGTTTTTGTTTTGGCCTGTGTTATGGACTGCGAGTTGCTGAATCTGTCTTGGATCCTTACCGAGTTATGTTGGCTCTTCCAAGAGACAACTGTTTCCTCTGTGCTTCTTCTTCAAGCAAGAGACCACTGCTTCATCTGTGCTTCTTCTTCAAGCAAGAGACCACTGCTTCATCTATGCTTCTTCTTCAAACAAGAGACCACTGCTTCTATTGATCACGTCATGCACGTGAAGACTTAAATATCCAACTCATTGTTCAAACTTCAACTGCTTTGTATAAAAACATCTTGAGTTTGAGTATTAGCGTATGCATATCTATATTGATATTCATCATTATGAATACATATTGAGATATGTACATGCATGGATATATATCTCTTAGGTGTCTCTTGATTAAGATATAATTAGTTAGTAGTTATCTATAACTGTTGGTATTTATCTTTAATTGTTACTGATCGTATATTTATACGGGATCTTATATATTCTTGATTAATCAATAAAGAGAGAGTTCTCTGCAGTATTATGAAATAATTTTCCATCGGGGCCAAAGGCCCAAATATACAAATATACAGTTCCTAACACCTATCTCATTGACCATTTGGTGAGCCCACTTTGGATGTTTCTCTCTTGACAAACCAATCCTATGGCATTGCCAAGTCACACCAAAACAATCGAGTTAGAAATTAATTCAGATTGTATGCAAGGATGTCACAATTGCTACTAACCATTAGATGTCAAATCGAATGGCTTGAGGTGTGACACAAAATTTGAGATAATTTTTTGGAGCTTTGCGTGTAGCTAATGACACATGCAACAACCCGACTTAAAATCAGATGGACAAGAGTGACTTTAACATGTGTTAAAAGTAAATAGTCCTTTATTAATTTATGTTCATTTATTGCCGAAAATACATGCATGAGTAACGAGAACTTTGGAGTAAAAGGGGTTTGCGTGGATTTGATTAATGTCGGTTTTGATTTTTTTAATCCTAGTAGGAGATTTATGATCTTGAATGCATAGAGTTGTCGAAAATTTTACAGCAAGGTACTTTGGGTTATATAAACCATTAGATTTATGGTTCCTTGATAAAAAGTTGTATGCAATGTGGCCTTATGCATTTTCTGGCTTAGTTTAAAACCCAATTTGCATTCCTATAGATTGATTCATTTCTAAACCTATAATTGGGACAACACCAATGAAGTAACTGATCAACCATTTTAAAAAAGCCTAGCCATCTCGAACCAGCTCTGGGTCTTAGACTGGTTTTGACCCGGTTCCCACTAGTTCTTAGCAATTTTTCTTTTTTCTTCTTTTTTATTTCTTTATCAGAAGACGATCCTTTGAAAATCGGCCAGCCAACTCAAAACGTGTTGATAATCGGTTCGACCAATCCGCATTTTAAAACAATGTGGCCCACCATAACAAGTGGCAGGTCAGTCAAAACCCATCCTAACGCCAAAATTCGTTCGATCCCAACTTTAAATATCCTATTTTGAACTTCCTAGGTGCTTACCAATCGTAAAGTGGAGCATTCAGCATTCACATACCAGTTTTTCTTCTTGCTGAGCATTCAGCATTCACATAACAACCCGGCTATGGCTACGGACCCCAGCAATCCTATGTAAATGCCACGAGACTTGCCCAAGTACACATTTCTGTACAACTTTTTGTTGTCAGAGTCTCAATGGGATTCGGTAAAGTCGAACCAGCAGGCATTCACATACCAGTTTTTCTTCTTTCTGAGCATTCAGCATTCACATAACAACCGGCTATGGCTACGGACCCCAGCAATCCTATGTAAATGCCACGAGACTTTCCCAAGTACACATTTCTGTACAATTTTTTGTTCTCAGAGTCTCAATGGGATTCGGTAAAGTCGAACCAGCAGACTGGGATTCACAAGTCTAGAGAGTTTTGAACCAAGACTGAGTTTTAGATTTTTCCCTCTTGAAGTCAAAATGGATGATTGGAACATCATTTTATCAGATAAACATTCCTGGAGTACGTATCCATATGTCCTCTTGGTTTATACCATGGACATTTCTAAAGAAAACTTACCAAGCATATTAGCCTAATAATCAATTTCAAGACAGATTGATGAACCCCCAATACCGTGTAGTGTACTATAATCATTATTTAAATGACAATGTTGTTGCTGAAATAAAGCACACTCACAGTTCATTTCAAATGAGCCTCTTTAACTTTGCATCAACTTTAAGTACCCAAATTTGAGAGAGTTGGAATTTACCTTCGCATTTGAACCACCTGTTTGCTGCTCTCCAACTTGAACAAGCTCATCCCAAATCGAATCCAATGAGCAGCTATTACCCTGGTTCTACTAGCCCTGTACAACTGGAGCACCACCACCAAGCTTGAATTGATTTGGTGCCAAATGATGGGGGCGAGTGGTGCTTTTTTTGTTCTTTTTTTTTCTTTTGTTTTTGGGCATCATTTGGGGGTGGGGGGGGGGGGGGGGGGGATTGTGTTTGGTGACGGAGAGGGTGTGGGATTTGGAATGGAACTTAGAGAAAGCCCACCCCGAGTCAAATCCAACCACCCAAATTTGAATCCTACGAGCAGCCACTATGTGGTGCTGCAGCAAGCCCATCCCTCTTCGAATATGACTACCCAAATGGCATGACCATCGGAATTCGAATCCAAGGAGTAGCCATCGTTGTGGTGCTGCTCCTCGATTCGAGCAAGCCCATCCATAGAGACGATGGGCTTGCTAGTGGGAAATAACATAAGGTTCTGGTCCAACCTCTGGATCATCCATTTTCCCCTGAGAGACCTTTTCCCACCCCGAGTCAAATCCAACCACCCAAATTTGAATCCTACGAGCAGCCACTATGTGGTGCTGCTTTCAACTTACAGCAAGCACATCCCACTTTGAATATGACTACCAAAATGGCATTTTGAATATGACTACCAAAATGGCATTTTGAATATGACTACCCAAATGGCATGACCATCCAAATTCCAATCCAAGGAGTAGCCGACCTTTTGGTGCTGCTCCCCAACTCGAGCAAGCCCATCCATAATGGACTTGCTAGTGGGAAATAACATAAGGATCTGGCCCAACCTCTGGATCGTCCATTTTCCCCTGAGAGGCCTTTTCCCACCCTTTTTCGTCTTGCTAGAGACCCCAACATCTAAGTTGCCAACTCCTTCCAACCTCTAGGAGCCTCCCGTTCTTGGAACCCATCCATGGAAATCTCCTTGACAGTGAGACCCTTGCTTTCCTTCAAGCCCAAGCCTCTTACATTCTGTCTACCTCTCCCCCATGGACTAGACAAAACCATCTGGTCCCTCACCTCAGACAGCTCCTTCTACCATAAACTTCAATCCTCCTCTACCCCTGTTCACCCCTCCCACTCTTGTAGCCAAGGCCTGGCAGCCCTTTATTTCCCCCAAAATCCAATATTTCTGCTCAATCGCACTCTCCGAAAGAGCATTGACTGTTGATCAGCTTTCGCAGAAGGGGCATGACTACCCCAAACCGCTGCATCATGTGCATGGAAGATGAGGAGTCCAATCCTCACCTTTTCACCCACTGCAGTATAGCCCACACACTTTGGAAGGATACCCTTCTCCTCTTCAACTGGTCTTGAGTTACTCCAAGGTCAGTGTCCCAACTGTTCGAGATGGCAAAGTTCCTCCCATGGGCCTATTCAAGCATCCTCCTGTGGAAGGTCTCCATAGCAGCCACCCTGTGGGCGATATGGATCGAGTGAAATAACCGCATCTTCCAAGGTCGCTTCTCTCATATCCACCCCCTCAGGGACAGCATCGGATCTAAGGTCATCTTTTGGGCCTCTAATCACAAGCTCTTCAAGCCTCTCCCTACCTCTGCCTTCCTCCTCAATTGGCCAAACGACATCCTCGATCGTCCCTTTGAAGACCCCAAGATCAAGACAAGACCAAGCTCTACTTCAAAGGCTGCTCCTCAGCAACCCCGGTCCCGTCAGCATCGGAGGCATTTTAAGGGGCCATTTAGGCACCTTCCTTTCCTCCTTTGCCAAACCCATCGGCCAAGCCGACTCCACCACGGCTGAAGCTGTCACCCCCCTAAAAGGGCTCAAACTTTTCAACTCTCTCTGGAGCACCCATCTAATAGTAGAATAAAGCTCTAGAAATGTTATTCTTTGGGTCCCAGGGGTGGCAACACCTCCATGGAGACTAGCCCACGCCTTTGATGAGAACTTCCACATATGCAGGTCTATTCTGGTTTCACAGACTCTTATTTGGCGGGTTGCGAACCACGTCACAGATGCCCTTGCTAGAGAAGGAGCAGCAATGACAGGAGACTAGTCACTCTCTGCCTATTGTGGTTTTTTCGGTTTTTGGCTTTCCAACCACTAGGCTGCCTTTTGTTGTATATCTTTTGTTGGCTTACACCACACTCTTTACCTTAATAATATACAATAGTGAATACGTTCAAAAAAAAAATATCACCCATATGGAAGAATGCACTCCAATGCACCAATAGAAGCTATATGTCATGGAACACAAACATAATGCCCTCTGGAAGGCTACAACTAACATATAAAATATTCAAAGCCTACAAAAACACATAACCATAAAAATGCAGAACTAAAAACTAAAATTAACAATACCAAACACGCACAATATAAAAATTGTGTTTTTTGTTTCACTTCCCAAAGGTTTCAGATCACATGATTATTTTTCTTCTTAGAACTTAAAAAATCAAAGCCAATTTATGGTAAAAAACAACTTATCAACCTTCAACAAAAAGAAAATTAGGAAGTCCTTAAAAAGGATTGTAGCCTGTCAGACCAGTCCCTAAGAACTATGACTTCAACAACCAACTCCTTTGAAAACTTGCTTCAAGTACAAACAAGAAGGGTGGTGCAGGAAACTCAGGAGGCCCTCCTCACCTGATCAGCCTGAATTGAGCTCCAACACCACCGAAGTCACAAGGCCCTTCCTAATCTCATTGTAAAACCATCTTGCGAGACAGGAAACCACTCTCTTCTCTCCCCTGAGGCCTAACTCATTGCATAACCGTCCCAATATCCCCTCCGTAGCGCATGGGTTTCCAAGTTGTTGACTCTATCAATGATCAAACAAGGACCCTTTAGAAGCTGCCTTACAGATATGCATAAATTACATCCACCGTTATGCAGCGATCATTGCCTCAGGAACATGTGGCACTGTCCAAAATAAAACAATAGCTAATAGGATTTTGAATGTTCATGTTGATCGAGATAATTTTCACAGGTGAGACTATGAGAGATTATGCTCTCTCTCTCTCTCTCTCTCTCTCTCTCTCTCTCTCTCTCTATATATATATATATATATATATACCTTATCCTACCCAAAATAAAGCTGCTAATTGTAATCCTAAATTCTCTACAAATGCAAAACCTAATATATTTCTGATCTCAAACATAATAAATCAAAAATAATTTGTACCCTTATTCCATGATTGCACCACTCTGGCAGGGTTGGGAGACGCTCGTCCTCAAGCTTACAGACTTCAAAAATTTTCCTTCACGGTCTCCTTCACTCTATTCCAATAGGAAGTCTTCACCTGTTTCACACCGAATTTCGATGGTTGAAATTGACTTCACAAAGTTGAAGTGTAGCTGCCGAGCTATGTAATTATGAGAGACTAACATTCACTTATATTTCATGTCTTACAGAAGAATCAGCTACCTGAATTTGTTGTGACCTTTGGTCATTGTTTTGATTAGGGATTGATTCCTGACCTGTCACGTGATCATGGGTTACTTGTTCCATGTGCTGCCTTAATCTGTTGATTATTTCGCAATTGTCCCTTTGCAATTTCTCGAGTATTTGAGCCACGCACTCCCAAACTGGATCCATCTTTTCTGCATGTGGTTTCAATGTCCTCATGTTGTACAGATCATTCTCTAGGCTTTGATACCAAATGATGAAGGTAGGAGAGCGAGAGAGAGACAGAGTTATAAAACTAAAAAGAAAAAAAAAGAAAAGGCTGTAAGACATTATGCTCTTTTAGAGACTGCAAGTGAAATGACTCACAAGAACCCCTCACAAGCCCAAAATATAATTCAAATCTCTCTATCTTTTCATTTTCCCAATGCTTATATGTATATGAAAAATTAAAGAGAAATTCTAACCATACTACAATCTCCTATCTCACGTCCAAAGGATTCCTAAACTTTCACATATTTGAAAAAAATAATCATCATCATCATTATCATCATCAGAGCATTTTTCCAACTATTTGGGATCGGCTATATGAGTCTTAGTTTTGCCATCCTGCTCTCAAGGACCATACCCTCAATGAGGCGGAGGCCATACCCTCACTACTTCCAACTATGTCCTTTTGTGCCTAACCCTTTTTGAGCCTTCCGTTTGAACCAACTCGCACCTTCTAACAGGTGTTGTACTAAGTTTGGGCTGCACATGCCAGCCCACCTAAGTCTACTTTCTCCCATCTTATCGTCTATTGGAGTCACACCTAAGTTCTCTCTAATGTATTCATTTCAAATTCTATCCCTTCTTGTCTTGTCACTCATCTATCTCACCATCCTCACCTCAGCTACAATCATCCTATGGGTATGTTATTTCTTGACTTCCCAACATTCCGCCTCATAAAACATAGTTGGTCTCACAGTTGTCGTATAGAATTTCCCTTTTAGCTTCATTGATATGCGGCGATCATATAAAACTCCGGTTGCGAATCTCCGCTTCGCCCACCTAACTCTAATTCTATATGCAACATCTCCCTCAATCTCTCCATTTTCTTGGATTATTGACTCAAGATATCGAACATGCGCTCTTTTTGGTATTTCTTAGCTGTTAATCTTAACTACATCACCACTTTTCAAACCTTATAATAATTCTTTCTTAATAAATCTAATAAGTCTCAACAAGAAAATATCTTTCCTAACTTTCTATTAAGAAAAGTTATATTTGAATCCAGAATCCATCTCCAAGATGAAGGATTTTGAAAGGATGGACCAACTAATACATGCATCCTTGGACGCACATAAACCCTACCCTTCTAATAAATCTAACATCAAATAGATAAATATATCAACCTCCTCTCTTTATCCCTCCATTCTTTTTTTTTCATTGAATCACTTGACTTCAATATTTAGATGAAACTAAATTTCTCATAAATAACAGGTGGGAATGGAGGGTGGGACGTTTTGTTGAGGCATCAGTCCCCCATATCCACAGATGTCCCAACCCAATTCCCAACAGGCGTTTTATTTTTTGGTATAGGCAAAATTGAAACCAGTTACAGTCTATTTCGAAGTTTGCTATTAGTACAAATGAAATGACCATGAAAAATACAAACAAATTGCCATATTCCAAATATGCAACTCTCAAGGAATAGCTAGTTTTAGCAAATCCAGTCATAGCACAAGATTAACATCAATAAAATGACAAGGAACCTACAAACAGCACAGCAAACAACTCAACTAAAGATATGTTGACCTGAAATCCATCCATCCCCAGTAGCATCATTGGTCTATCAATCACCAAGTTTGTATAATTTTAGGAAAAGTATACTATGATAGTATCCGGTATTAAAGCAGTTTGTTGCCAGTTCCTCAGTCATCTGATGTCGACAACAGACAGGGGAGGTGAATTTCTGTTGTTGACATTGGGATGGCAGAGGAACTCTGTTTTAACCCCAAATGCTATCATAATGTACAAACTGTGACATTGATTTGCTATCTTTCTATAATCATCACATCATTAGTTCAAATATTGTTTGACCCAGTTATCAAAATCCCGAGTCATTCTCTTTTGCAGTGGTAAAGTCAGTAAGAAATGATACAAAATCCATTTTACTAACTGGAAATTGACAAAAATGCTTCCATTAGCAGATTTCAGACCAGGAAAGTTGAATCTCATTTTACAACTGAAAGTTGAATAAATATCAAAATAAACATGTCAGCAGTAAAATAATTTGAATAGTTTACAATTTTTTTTTTGAAAAGGAAAATAGGAACGACAACGGGGTTCCATTGTTTACAATTTGTTAGAAAGTGAAAAGGAAAATAGGAACTTGCGATAAGAGGTCAGTGATTGCAAACCAGCCTTCTGTCCTTGTGCATCAGCAGTAGTGCCAATATAGGAGGCTTGAGCTGCAGTGAATAAATGTGTCAATAAGGGATGTAGTTTTCTGCAACTCCAACACCTAATCTCATAACAATCCCCTTCAAATTCTGTTTTCGCTTCTTCTTTTCTTGTATCAATAGAATTAATAACGTAAAATCGTGGAGATGAGACCATAGACCTCGTTAACATTGATGTCGAAAAGTATGTGGGTATGGTTGATTTTGAGGTTGAAAAGTAAGTGAGCATATTCCAGACAAAATAATGTGTAAAGCTGCAACCAAGAATCTTTGTTGAAATTCACCACTAGCAGTTTACCTGCATGAGAAGAATGAGCATCACAGTATATAAGCCATGCAAAAACGCTCCTACATAATAATAACAAGAACACATACAAAAAGAACATTGTAGCAGAGCACTAGACTGTTGCATTGCAACTGAATTTCTAAAAAAAAACAAAAAAGCATACACAGAAGCATTAACAGCTCCCTAAATATCCTAGCACTCACTTGAAATTCACAAAATAAGACATGAACAAGAAAGAACCAGAAGAAAGTCAATCTTACATATAATTGCAAAAAGATAAATAACTGTCTCAGAAAAATGTGTAATCCATTGAACTTTGAATAAAAAACAAAACAGATATTCTTTTTCTGATCAGTGAAGGATTCCAACCAGGGACATAGTGTTGCAATAGTTAACACCATCCTGGCAAATGCCCAAAACCAAACCAGATTTGGATTTTTACTCTCCAAAAATATATTATGTAAAAGGTTTACAAATTTCCGCCAGTTCTGGTGAGCTTTGGACCCTTTGTCAGACAATTTTTTTTTTTTTTTTTTTGAAATTGTTAACTGTGACCCTGTGTCAGTCAATTTAAGCTGAATATAGTATATATGGCTGCCAATGTGTCTCGACCATTGGTCTAAGAAGGGTGATGACCTTAAACTTTCCCTTAACATGTCCCATGGCCGAGAATAGGGGCTGGGTTGTGTTAGGTAGGCAGCCAACATAAAATTTTGCCAAAACTTATCATGAATCCTGAACATACGGATATAGGGACTTATGGGGGGGTATGGCCTTTAATAGATAAAAATGGGGGGCTAGTATTCGTGTAGCCGACCGTTCGCCCCTGGCCGAGGTGAGTTACTTGGACTCAGCCGAGTCCAACCCATTTCAAAAAAATAAAAAAATAAAAATAAAAAAGAAAAAAGAATAAAATAACTTACCTATTCTTTTACACAAGGCTTGAAATGGCATGTTGGTTAGCTCTTGTGGGTCTCTCCCAAGAGGTCATGGGATTGAACGCCGTCACATGCATTTCTTTTTGAAACTTGTCGTATTAGTAGCATAAACAAATAAATAATAATAAAAATAAAGACGAAAAGATACTATATATAGCTATTCTTTAAGCAGTGCACGAATTGGTGCGCTGGCCAGCTCTTGTGGGTGTCTCCCAAGAGGTCTCAGAATTGAACCCCGTCTAACGGGGTTCTTTTTGAAAAACTGACATATTAGGAACATAAATTAAAAAAGGGGGACATGCATTTAAAAGATTATGGTGATGTTTGAGGGGGTTCGAACCCCAAACATGAGGCCCATAAACTGCAAACACTAGCCAACAAGACACTTAGATGTTATTTGCATTAAAATGAACATATATTTATAATATAACATTAGGGTGTACAGCCTACTCGGTCCCACCTATAGGGCGAGTCGTAGTAACTCCCCCGAGTCCATTTCGACTTGGCTGAATCACGGAACATTGATCAAAAGCATTACATGTGGAACTTGACAGTGAAATTTAACATAAAGAAAATATAGTTTAATCAACCATTGTAGTAACTATATCATACCTGGGTCCCCTTGCCTCTCAATCAGCTTCATCCGTAGAACTCATTCCAGCCAAATTCTATGGGCACACAATCGTTCAAAATCCCATTCTGTTAAATGAGCCTCAATTTCACATTCTGATCCATATGAAAATAGGTACGAGGACGCATCATATGTTATGGCTGCACTCGGATCAAAAGTACGAGAATCCATATATGTTCTGGTTGCCAAAACAGGATATGGGTGCATGAATTACTTACTGATATTGGCTCAAGCTAAACTTTTCCAGATACAAATTCTTGAATTCCTGCAAAGAAGTTCGGTCTTTCTTGAGAGCAGCAAGCTTCCTTGTAAGGTTGCATTCATTTCAGTACTGTATTTCATGGGCGGAGTTCCATTTGGAATCCTCCTCTCTTGGCTTGAATGAGCAAGAACCCATTATATATTTTAACCACCAGTTGCTAGAACAGGATTTGGATCCAAGAATGTGCTCCCCAAAAGGAAACATGATTTTAAGATTGCATTTTCCGTAAACAAATGCATGTAGAAGCCTGCAATAAACTATGTATCGGGTTTAATTTCTGATACCCCAGAAGAGAACCCATTCCGAAGCCTTCTACGTTTGGCTTGAATAAAGCGCACATACTCGGCAATCATGACATGGAATTTCGAGGCATGCTTATTTGAAGAAGGCATGCCAAGGCCCGCCTTCTTAAGTGACAAGGCCACATTCCTTCGCGTTTTTAGGACGTGATTAGAACAGAGAGAAGGCACAGTTGCCTTTAAAACAGGCTTACCACAAATAACAGCTCCCGACGGCAAGCTGCAAGAAGCCAAAAAGAAGACACAACATATGAAACCACCAAAAAGATCCTACACTCATTTGTCATTGTGAATTGTATTTTTTTTAAGCAAGTGTTATACTTACTCCAATCCATAGATAACCGCAGCTTTTCGCAGTCATTAAAGATCCAAGCAAATGATGGATGGAGGTGGAGAGAATGAGGCATCAACATTCAGCTCATTTCCTTTCATGGTGGGTCCTGCTCTCTCCTCATCACGGTTCATCATTCCATTGGATCATAATGACCTTGACTGCCTATAGTTTTCCACTGTCGATTAGATTGCAATATAATACCTCTTTTTTCTTTATAAATGGCAAGCATTATATGAAGGTGATTGTTTCTCCTATGCATTTCTCCAAAACACATGTTCTTGAAAACAGTTCCGGAAAAGCATATTTCTATAATAAAAAATTAAATTCATATTGGAAGATGACCGTTATTGGACCTAGAGTTTAAAAGATGCATCTGTCCATGACAGGGTAGAGAATGACCGCATTCATGATGTGCCTTGATCCATATTAGAAGATATATTAAGAATTACATAAGAACTGTAATAGTTCACAAGGTGTTGATATTACACTTGAATAAATCTCAAAATAATAAATACTGATCAGCTAAGGTGCTTATGCATGGCATAAATAATATAGGCACTGATGATATGATGGCATTCCTGTTATTAAAGTTTTATCACCATTTTGTCAAGAAATAGAATCTTCCATTTAACAAGTTAACTAGAGAACATATAAGAATCCAGAAAATACTCATGTTTTGGAACCATGATTATGCTCATGTTTTTTTACATCAAAAAAGAAAAATACTAATGTTTTGAGGCTTATGAATGGCATATTGATCACATAATTCAAAGGTGACAATGGCGCCTTTAACATATCCAAAGAAGATTGTTAAATTATTGCTCTTTCCGGTTCCTTAGAAGCCATATCTAACTTATTCTCCCCTACTAGTAGTGCCTGGTAACCTAAATAACCAAACTTCAAGATAAAAAGATGGCGCAGACCTAGTAGCTCGAGCTAGAGTTTTAGCAAAGAAGAAGATAGGGAAGATCCAAAACTAGAGAAAGATGCAAAAACCAAAAATAAAAGGAGCACTTGCTGCACCAGGGTTTCGAATAAAAGTTCATAACATCCTCCCCCATTAGGCTTGAGTACATCCCTTCTATAAGAAAACCCTAAACAAGACTTAATCATGGCCATCCACCTAATATAATCGTGGCCATTTATTATAAACAAGGTTCAAAAACACAAATGCGGCGCCTAGGAGCTAAGGCGGGCGCTCAGACACAAAGGCAGGCGCCCATACACAAAGGTGGCCTGCATTGGGGAAGGGGTAGATCCTTGCGGTTTGTTGGACCCCTCCACACCTCCCCCCATTTTATTGTTTATAGAATTGACTATTGTTTATTTAATAAGTAAGTTTGGGGATGAATATATAGATCCTTGGCGGTTTGTTGGACCCCCACACCTTCTTGAAGTGGTATCGATATCGTGCCAAACCGAAATGTTTTGGTTCCCAAATATCCTCTTTTACGGCCACTATAAGCCTCTAAAAGATTGGGATTAATATATGTAAATTTTGTGACCATTCGAGCAGGTTGAAAAAATTTCAATCTCTCTATAAATCTTCAAAGCTTGTTTTTATAAAGATTTTTCTTACTCTAAACTTCAGTAAAAATGTTTTTGGGAGCAAGAATAGCCCCAAAAACTTTTTTCCCGCTATTTAGGGGGTAAATTGATGTTTTTATCCAATGGCCGAGAGCCATTTTCCAGGAAGGGTTGAGGTGGCGCCTAGGCGCCCGCCTTTTACAAAGCCTAGGTGGGCACCTAGATGGACCCGCCTAGAACATACCGCCTAATCCACGCTTAGGCGATTTGGAAAAATGGCCGCCTAGGCGGCAAGGCAGCTGAATTTTCGTTCATTGATTATCAAATACTTTAAGTGAATAAAAAGGCATAAAAGACTCTAGAAATTACTACTTATGCCCCTAAGTGAGTAAAAAGACTCAATAAATAAATGACATAAAAAGATAGACTCAAGACTAATTTGTCCTTTTGTGGTTTCTCCTGTAAACTTTAAGCTTATTTCCTTGTCTAGATACTCTTGAACTCTTCATAGACTTTTAGTGGTTGAATGTACCTTTACTTTGGAGTTTGTAACTTTAAAGTTTGCAATTGCGAATTTGTGATTATGCTTTTTGGACGTTTCTAAATTATGATAATATGATGTCTTCTAAGTTCTAATCATCAATCATCATCAAAGAATTTTCCTAAATATTTGGGGTTGGCTATACGAATCTTGGTTCGCAATTCTGCTCTATTAAGGACCACACCCTCAGTGAAGCCATAAGTCCCCATATGTGTTCTCACTATTCCAACCATGTCCTTTTAGCCTACTCCTTGCCTTTTTTGAGCCTTCTCTTAAACCAACTCGCACCTTCTAACAAGTGTTGTACTTGGTATGCGCTACACATGACCAGCTCACCTAAGTCTACTTTCTCATCTTTTCGCCATCGGAGCCACACCTAAGTTCTCCCTAAGGTATTCATTTCGAATTGTTTCCCTTCTTGTCTTGCCACTCATCCATCTCAACATCCTCATCTCAGCTACACTCATCTTATTGGTATATGTTGTTTTTTGACCGCCCAACATTCCATCCCATAAAACAAAGCTCGTCATATAGGTGTCTTATAAAACTTCCCCTTCACTTCTTCAGCGTTATTGATATGGGACGATCATATAAAACTCCGGTTGCACATCTTCACTTCGCTTAAATTCTACGTGAGACATCTTCCCCAATCTCCTCGTCTTCTAAGTTCTAATGTCTTATATAAAGTTAAATACAAGTTTCTAGTTTCCAATCTCTATTTTTAAATGTCTTTGATAAAGAGATTCAGAGTCTCCGACAGCTAATTATATCGAAGTTAATGAATAAATTGAATACCTATTATCACATAAATCACCTCCATATTTTTTCCATGCAGTAACACATTTATTGAGATTTTTATTGAATTTTTAATATTTATTGACCGCATTGGGGTGATGCACCCGCATCTGGACCACATCGAGCCACATCACTGCATCTACCCACGACAGCATTGGCACTGCATCTCGCATTCTAAAACAATGGGAATTAACATACTTGTAATACATATGCACAACACACTTGATCCTGAACAAGTCAGAAAATACTCTACCATGAATTTTGAAGCAGCTCAAGAGTAATGATGCATTACGCACATAGTGACTAGATACAGAGGTTCTCCACTCAAAAAAAATAATCGTTGAAGCTGAATTCCAACATCAAGAATCACATCAGCACCCATTTGATGGCCACCTTCTATACTGAACTCACTAGCAAAATGCTTGTAGGAACATATCACCAAACCCTTGGACTACACATCATTTGATACTCCATATTCAAGTAAAACTCCAAAAGAAGAACGTCGACATCATTACCCCCGTCAACACCATTCTCCTCACTACTTTCTATGGGGACCAAGAAACCCGTTACCTCCAATATTTTGGGGACAATTCCTTGACATCCACCCTATTCTTCTTCAAAAAAAGAAGCATTCACAACATCCTCTCCAATGACAAGATCTTCTTGATCCGCTTTGTAGATTGGATCACCATTAAATCTATGATCACCCAGTTCTTTCTCAAAATTCAAATCTACATCCAAGTACTTGTAAAAGACTAGTGATGAGTTCCAGTCCACAACATGTTGATATTGAGAACCATTTGGTGAGAACAAAGTTGCTCCTTGAATAGAGTTCAATTATACCTACTCAAACCATCATCGATTTCGTACCTAGGTCGATGACATTGTGCACCGAACTCTTGACTAGGATCACACCATGAATCTGACCCGTCTAACACCAACTTGGTCACCGATTCATCTAACACCATCTCATCCACCTAAGATGGAGCTTCCATCTACCCCAAATGCAGAGCTAGGGCTCCTCAAATCTGCAATCTCTTCTCACAAACTAGCATCAAAGGTTTTTGTTGTCGCTTGTCCTCATTTTTCTCCTCATGCGTGGTTGTTGATCTGGAGCACAAAAATCGATGCTACAGTACTATGCTACAATACCGCGCTACACTAATGTGCTATAGTACCGTGCTACAATATTGTCCTTACTAATCATTGGTCTTTGATACCAACCTGGCACAGACCTAGTAGCTTGAGCTAGGGCTTTAGCAAAGGCGAAGATAAGGAAGATCAAAAAATATAGAAAGATGCCAAAATCAAAAATAAAAAAAATAGCACTTGTTGCTCTAGGTTTCGAATAAAAGTCCATAACATCATCCCCATTATGCTTGAGAACATTCCTTATATAAGAAAATCCTAAACAAGACTCAATCATGGTCATCCATAAAATCTAATCATGACCATTTATTATAAAAGACTTTAAGTGAGCAAAAAGATATCAAAGACTGTAAAAATTACTACTCATGCTTCTAAGAGAATAAAAAAATTAAATGAATAAATAAAAAACACAAAAGGATAGACTCAATGACTAATTTGCCCTTTTGTGGTTCCTATGGTAGGGATCACGGTCCATACACCTTGAAAAAAGGTATCTCAATACCAATATATGGGGGAGCTTGATTCAATGAAATTGGGATCAAATGATATACAAGACCGAGCTCCATTTTCTTTTCTTTTTTTGGACAAGGTTACATAGGAATGGAACTTAAGACGTAGTGCTATGAAAACCTAGCTGCTACCGCCCTGACCCAAGCTTGATTCCTGACCGAGTTCCATTTGTTAAAAATCGAGACCCCAAAGAGCACTTAAGTAGTATAGTTGTGTAGTATATAATGCTATAGTAAACCACACTGTGATAGTATATAGTAATATACTGCTAGATAAGATAGTAAATGTTCTATATCAAAGAAGGTAATTTCAGTCTTATTGGTCAATTAAAACCATCACATACAACTGGAAGGAGGGATGCCAA